ATTGTTCACGATCCTGGAGCCCCAGTGATCTGTCCTCTTTTCCTACTCCTCTCCTCTGAGCTGAAGCTTTTTTCCTTCCATTCTCCCTTGTGGTTTTCCTCTTCGGAGGTTGTAGCTCGTCATGAGAGACTGGAGCTGCTGATTTGACTGACTTGTCACAGAAATGCTAGTCAAATCAGCAGCAAAAGTAGCAGTTCTTGAATTTATTTGGAAAATAGACCCATAATTTGACAGAAACATTTATAACGATAATCTTAGCAAAGATGCATTGTGAGCCATATGAAGCTAGAAATTAAACACATACATTCAAGACAAAGCAGATATCATGATATTTCCTTTCTTCTCATCCGGTCAGTGAATGAATGCTTAATTAGTTTTCTCAACTAGAATGGCAGTGAGTGTGGAACTGCTGCCTCAGTTTTGCCAATAATGCCAAAGAAAAATCTGATGTGTACACCACATGACTTCCTTGTACGAATTATTAAATTATATGCATTTTTTCTTTCATTTTATTTTAAATTATTGGATTGAATTAAATCTACTTTCTTGATAGCACATAAACCATGATAGAATAAATGCACTCTTTAAAATTCTCTATATTTATTTACCATAGTTACACTCTGGCACTAGGTTCACTTAACAGCATTACATTTCGTTCATATTATAACACGGAATGCACAAAATTTATATCATCTTAAGAATTATCGAATAGTTGCCACATGTTCTATTCAAATACTATAATAAATCTAAAATGATGTATAACAGAAATTAAGCAAACAAAACAAAAAAGAAACAGTTTTTCACAGACAATTTAGTATTGCTCGTTCAATTAATTCAGTTCTCACTTCACGACAAGGCAAAAATACATTAAAACTCAAAATATCTATATTAAAAATTATGAAATAAATCTTAAACAGTTATTTCCTTGATTTCCAGAATGGGTTAAGCATGATTTGATTCGCAATAATAAATGAAGGGGTTATCTTTGTTGTTGTAAAGCTTAGTTTCTCTAGATTGGCATCAAATCCTCTATTCTGCTAAGTACTGTAATTTCAGGTAGATAAGGCGTGTTTAAAAGTTGAAAATTTATGTCTGCAGCGTATCTGAGGGATTATGATTTTTCCTCTGGCCTTTAAACTTCTCTAGTTCAGATTGTAAGTTATGCACAACCAAAACATAAGAATTCGCTTCAATATTCTAGCCTCAGATTGTGCCAAGGCAGTGCAATAAGTTCTAACTGGCCTACTAAGATAGGTGGGGCTCCCTGTAAAGACACCATAATGCATGTACTTTCTGCTAATCTCCATGGTTTTCCTATGGCTTCTTGTCTTAATGCAAACAGCTGCATTTACTTGTCAAGTGCTGTGTTAATTCTTACAAGCTTTTACTGCTGTGTAGCTTTCTTTATCATTCATGCATTAAAAGTATTATTATTATTGCTCCTACTCGAAACAAAAGTCATATAGCTGCATTTAAGTTTTCGGCAGTGAAGAAAACGATCGAAATTGGAAATCGCATTGTGGCTAAAGAATTTCAAGTTGACGAGTGATGCATTCAGCAATAGAAGTCTGAACAAGAAGAATTACAGAAAATGCCTTAGAATAAAAGATCTCGCTGAACTGGTGTCATAGCCTGGCCTGTTTTGGAAGACTTAGAAAAATGGGCTATAGGAGCAGAGAGAAATAGATTATTTAGTACCAACAGCTAGAATTTGCCTTCAAGCAAAGAAAATTGCTCAAAAAAAGGGCATTAAAATTTTTGTTGGAGGACCTAATTGGTGTTTTAGGTTCATGAAGTGAAAGAAATTATCATTTAGGACAAAAACAACAGTTGGGCAAAAGCTTCCCATGAACTGGCTTGAAAAAAAGGTAGCTTTAGTACACATCTAAAAAAATTAAAGAATAAAATTTGAAAAGGAGGCAAATAATTAATGTGGATAAAGCGCCGTTACTTTTGATTGTCATCCGAGCAGACCTGTTCATTCAATAGGTGAAAAGACTATTTCAGTGTTAAAACCGAGAATGAAAAGACTTCTTTTACTTGCCCCTTAGGGGCTCACTTTTGTGAGTACAAGTATGGCAATCCCGAGGTACCCTAACCCTTCAGGGGATCATCTTCTTGGTGAGACGGGTGTCAGAATCCTGGAGCCCCAATGATCTGTCCTCTTTTCTGTCTCCTCTCCTCTGAGCTGAAGCTTTTTTCCTTCCATTCTCCCTTGTGGTTTTCCGCTTCAGTGGTTGGGGCTCATCATGAGAGACTGGAGCAGCTCTTGTCTCTAGTTTTCGAGTGGCCAGAAAACTGCCCACGTGTTTGCCATGTGTGGAGACCTGTGTCTCTGGAAAAGAGGGTCCTGGTAGTTGACGGGCGAGGTACTGTCTCCAACACACTGCTTTGCCCTCTGCTTCAGCTAAATGGGAAGCACCTTAGTCATCCTCCCAGGTGTCAATCGGCTGGTCACGAGTCCTTGTGTCAGTGCCTTAGGCATAAACTCTTGGGAGTACGTGCTTTCGAAAAAAGTTGACTGGGGCTTCAGATTGCGTATAGGTCTGGCTAACTCTAACACAGGAATCTGTGTTCCCTTGTCGGGCTCCATGGTGGGTGGGGCGGTCGGACCCGAATCTTTTATTTCTTTGAATCATGGCTCAATCAAATTTACACATCTCAAATGAACACAATTATGCCTCTAAAAAATTAAAAACAAGCGATAATGCCAAGCTTGATGTAAATTCAGCAAGTCTGCCTAGTTTTCTGGTCATTAACATTCTACAGGTCATCTCCAAAAGTTGTCTCCATTTTTAATTCAAAATTATGTGCAATCTTGCATCGGACAGCCAAAGAATATCAAACGGCTGCACCCTGAAAATCTTCTAGTTCAAACTGTAATTTGGATCATGCTTTAGATTATTGTTTTGCATTTTAATACTGTGTATATTAATGTACCTCATGTTCACATCTGTAATCTTCTCATTTTTATATACATTTCACCTCAGTGTGTTTTGTTTAATGTCCTTGTGTTAAACTTGTGTTTGGAAGTATTTGACATATGTCTGGCGCAAATAACCTTTTAGGTTGTATGCCCAAAACCCTACCAACCAACCAACGAACTTCTTTTACTTGTGTTTTGGGTTGTGCCGCCAGTGGAGAGAAGTTAACCCCTTTCATAATTTTCAAAAGAAAAACAATTCCGAAAGGAAACTTCCCTAAAGTAGTTAAGTAATGTTGTTTTGGCTGAGGGAAATTTATCGAAAGAGGAAAGGGTTTTTTTTCCAATCCCGAGGACTCATTGTTCTGGATTCAATGCAATCCTGTTTATCAGATACGGTAAGATCTGAAACAAAAAAATTTTACACCCACTGGATCTCACTATCAATGGAATTTTCAAAAATAAACTACAAAAGCAGTGGGAGGAATAGATGCAAAGCAGACTACATTCCTTCACAAATTCCAGAAAAATAAGAAAAGCTTCGTATGAGTAGGCTGCCTTATGGGTCAATAAAGCATGACAATCAGTCCGAGCTGATACAATCGTATCAGCTTTCATTAAATCAGAAATCATTGAAAAAGAAAATGAAGTGAAGATAGTTACGTTGAACAAAATGATTTAGAACAGAATGATGAAATCGACCTTAATGGTCATTTGTTAAATTTATTTAATTCTTACATCAATAAGTCAGATTTTGAAAGTTTTGTATAAATAAATGTAGTTTAATTTAATTAAAAAATTCTGTGTGTTTATTTGATTTATGTATTCTTTTTCATAATATGGTAATTTATCATAATAAACGAAGTTTACTGAACCCGTAAAAATAATATCTATTAAAAATTGTCAGAGTTCGTTTTCGGCAAGTTCAAAGTAAGATGTTTCTTCCTTTTATATATTACTGATCGTATTTATGTTTTAAATGTTATGGATGATGATTACATCAACATGGCAAGGAATTACTGAATAAATGAATATTAATTGCCAAGTTTCGGAATGCTTTGCTGCGGCATATATAGTGGTGCTGCTTATCCAATGAACGTTCATTTTTTTGTCAATTATCAGGAGTGCACCATATACACTAGGGCGGCTTATCAACTCGAAATTATGTTAAAATAAAAATGTTATCCATGATGATTACATCACAATATGGCAAGGAATTACTAAATAAATTAATATTAAGTGGCATGTTTCGGAGAGCTTTGCTGCAGCATATATGGTGGTGCTGCTTATCCAATGAACTTTCATTTTTTAGTCAAATATCATGTGTGTGGCGTACACACCAGGGTGGCTTATCAACTTGAAATTACAGTATATGTGTAGAAATGAGTTTAAAATGTAGTAAATCACAGTAATGCTTGGTTTTAGTTGAGAAGGGAAAAAATAAACAGGAACATCATTATTTGCTATGGAAATTAAACATTGTAGTTTCGAGTGCTAAAAATTCTGTGTGTTATTAATACTTTAATATTTTATTATCTTCAGTATGTGGTCAGCATCATCAAAGTGCAGTAAAGACTCTCTAAAATGTTTTCTCTCTTTCTTACCTTCATTTATATTTGACGATGTATAAAATATAATCTAGTTTAAGTGTAGCCTAAATATATGATGTTATGTTTTAAAACTTCGGGTATTTTCTGATGATTCACATCCCTCCTGAAAAAGTTGCCAAAATGTTTGCTTGTCTTTATGTTTGGTAAGTGTTATTATTTTGTATATAATAAAAATATTTTTTTTTTTTTTAATGAAAAATTTCATAAGAGAGAAAATCTATGTAGCCTTTTAAGTCAATATAGTTGTAGAGAAAATTTGTATGCATCTTGTAAAATGAGTCCAAAACACCACAGTTCCATTGAATGTTGAATTGGAGGAGATAATCAAAGTACCAAAATTTGTATTATAAAATAGTTGATATGCTTAGTGATTAATGAGGAATATAATGAAAGTTTGATTATAGTGATGAAAAATAATTTTCTTTATTTTATGTTTAATTTATATAGTTTAAAATGTTTTTTGCAGAATGGCATGAGCTTTATAATTAGAGACCAAGCTAGGTTTGCAAAGGAACTTCTTCCTCAGTACTTTAAGCACAACAATATGGCAAGTTTTATTCGTCAACTAAATATGTGTAAGTTTTAACAGAATCTTTTTTTTTTTTTTTTTTTTTTTTTTTTTGTATAAAAACCTTTTTTTTTTTTTCCCTTTTATATGCAGAATATTTAATATATTTAAAAGAAAAAAAAGTTGTTTAAAAGCTTTAAAAATTTTTAATGGTTTTAAAAATAAAAGTGATATTGTAAAATTTAACATTTTGGTCTTGTCCACAGTTTGCAGATATCAGCATTATGTTTCAAGTCAGTATTTAATAAATTTTAATGTGACACTATGCCCTTTTTTCGCATGCTGTATTTCATTTTCAGATATTCAGATACATAAAATTATAAATTTTGCTATCAATAAAATGTAGAATTTAAACACTGTAAGCACTAATGTAACCTTTTTACTGAAGGAGTAAAATTTTTCATTTGAAATTCTATATTTAGTTTTCATGACACCATTTGATTTAAATCACTCTCAGAATATTAAATTTATTTTCATCTATAAATATAGCTGAATTAAAAAATTTCTGAGGCTAGGTCTTACTGAATTATAATCATACCTTTTGATTTACTTTACTAAGAAATGGATTTTCTAGCTATGCAGCCATAAAAGTTATATTTTCTCACAATATTTCTAATAGTTTCTGCATTTCTAGATTTTGTTACTATTTAATGAACATTTACAGTCAATCTGGTTTAAAAATTATAAATCATATTTTTAACGATTCACTTTTTGCATTTAATGAATATCTTTGGCTCCCTTGTATTTGGTTTCTTTTCCAAGCAAATTTGTTTTGCAGTATTAAATTGAATAGTAGATTTTGTTTTAAATTCAATAGTTCAGCAATTTTTTTCCTTATATTTTTCAAAATTTCAATGAAAAATTGTAAGTGTACTTGCATCAGAAGAAATCTTAATGTCTTCTACTCATGTTAACAAAGTAGGTCCTAAACCTTAACTTTTCTGTGCTTAAAAACCTTCTTACAGGTATTTTTAGAAGAAAAGCTTGCTAGATTTAGCTGTTTATAACATCTGTACTGCAATGCCTCAATATTTTTTAAACCTTAATTTCATATTTAAAATATCTCATTTATGAGTGCTATTTAATATTATTCCTCATAATAGTTTTAGCTTGAGTTTTAGCATAATAAAATGACCACCACTTCTGGCCTTAGTAGTGGCCAATGCCATTACAGGCAAGTGCCTGCCATATGTAAAATAAATAAATAAATAAATAAATAAATAAATAAATAAATCTTGAGATGTTTTCTCTTAGAAAAGAAAGGAAAAAAAATCCTTAATCTCTTGATGCTTAAATTTAAAAAGTAGTTTTTCATAAAATACTAATAAATATGCATTATGTTAATCCTCGGTAAAAGTTTATATGAAAGTTTAAGGTAATCCTTGTTGCAATTCATTGAACATACTAACAAAGTGTGTAAACCATATTTGGCATTATTATTGCTTATAACAAATGTGCCTAATAATATATAAATTCACATATTATCTTCAGAAATTTTGAATTAAAAAACTCGTTAATTTTTTGCGAGTGTACTTAGAAATACATATACTTTAAAATGATGGTAAAAGTTTTGTTGGTTATAATTTTTTTTTTGAAAAATTTATGAAAATTATTTAAAAAACATAAATTAAAAAAAAAAAAAACCCAGAAAAAAAATGCATGAATTTTATTTGGATTAAACCAAAATTTAGAATTATGGAAGAACGAATTAAGTAAATTTTAGTTTTAAAGACAGATATTATTAATTATATGCAGAATTCTGTTAATATCGGGAAGTTAAAATTTAGACTGCTAATTAAAAAAAATTATTTTGATTTTTACAAAACTTAGGACTTTGGCATACTGTGAGATGTAGAATCAAAATATGGAAAAAAAAAATGGCAAATCATTTAAAGAAGTCTGGTTTTGTGTCAAATTTGTATTTTGAAACAATACTGTTTATAAATCTAATATATAGCTTAAGTCGCACTTTGAAGACCTGAAAAATGAAAGTATCCGTCGATCATCCAAATAGAATGGGAAGGAACTGTGTGTACATTCCTCCTTGCATTTAAATGATTTAAGCAAAGCTTACATTGAGAATTCCTTAACCACTTGTGTTACGACTAAACTTTACGGTTACGGTGCCGTGCGCTACAGTATAACAAGTAGTAAAGTGTCTTATTTACGACGCTCCGCGTCTGCGAGTGCAATCCAGAGCTGTAACTCAAGAAATAAACAATCTCGTTGTTAGGTGACTTGTACTCCATGTTATTTTCATTTTTGCGATAAATGCCTATCGACGTGGTGTTCACGTCGTTCGCGGTTTGAGACAAAAGCATCTCGACGTGCTTGGCACGTCTTTTTAGCGCAAGTGGTTAAGGGCTTTATTATAGCCTTTAGGTGTCATTTGGTATTTCAGTTTTTCTTCAGAGTGTCTGTATCTTTTTTTATTGGTAGCACATTTGTCATCAGTTAACTGTTACCACATATGCATTTATTTCTTGAATGAATAATTGTAGTTTATATAAAACTGTGTAATTAGTAAATGAGCATTTTGAAGTATTCTTGTTATTGCAATAAACTCTTAATATCTGAAGGTTTAAATTTGGCAGTACAGAGGGTGTTTACACATTTTTAAAACAATTTTGATAACGAATTTTTAAAAAATCGATGTTTTGGAATAAAAATGTCTGGAAACAGCTTATAAATGGAATAAAACGATGAAAATCAGTATCCCTCGAAATTTTATGAAAAGCCCTTCTATCATGCATAGCACGATGCACATGTAGAGTCCCCACAAAAAAAGGCTATCAGAATGAGCATTTAAAAAATACCTCTTTACATTTTAAACAATGTTTAAATGGCTCTAAAATTGTTCTAAAAATTTGTGAACAGCCTCTGTATTTGAGACAGTGAGCCGAATGTCATCAGTATTTGTTATTGAGGGGAGACGAAATCTTCTAACTGGAATTCATTCTTTTGCTTTGTCTAGTAAGCTTAATTTTAAGTCTTTACGTAAACACTCAAAATAAAGGACCTCAAAATAAGGAAAGTATAAGGATGGAAACTGATATCTTTAAATTTTTTTCCTTCAGATATGCCAGACAATCTAGAAGTTTGAGGAGTTCCAACATTTTTTCTTTTTGTTTATTTAAATATTTATTTAAAAAACTGCTTGCTTTATATCTTTTAAATGATTTTTTCTAGATGGTTTTAGGAAGGTTATGAATTATGAAAAAAGTGGTCTACGAAATGAAAATGATGAAATGGAATTCCAACATTCATTCTTTATGAAAGATCAAGAACATCTTCTTGAACTCATTAAAAGAAAGGTATGAGTCGAAAGACTTTTCAGTTATGTTACTAATGTTATGTAAAATCTAAAAACCGCAATCAAATCACTCAATTTTTTTTTTTTACTAAGAATGAACTATTAGCTGTCAAATTATATAGATGCAAATGAACTTGTACTTCCAAAAGTGAGCTAGCACCATTTGTTATAAAAAATGCATCATGACTTTTCAGACAACTTCATGTGTTAGTTTAGTTAGTTATTTTAATTGAAGCTTTGTGTGTGTATTAGAAATTTTTTTTTAACATATGTGAGATTGCCTTTTTATAAGAACATAGTAGAGCACGACTTAAACATAACTATTTTATTTTACTAATATGAAATAAAATGAATAAAGATAAGTAAAAGTTAATATTGCAGATGATCTCACAATAATTATACTCAGTCCAAACAGTTCTACAGGATTCGATTAACATAACGGTGACTAATATTTCTCCACACACTATTTGTCCTAAATAGGGCATGTCTTGCCCTCATATGGCTAACTCAATGTAAGCATCTTGGAGGATCTGCAGTCTGTCTGCCAGCTTCCATTCCATCTTGAAGCTATCCACCTCAGCGCGTGAAATACGTCTTATTCTCAGCACTTCCAGCGGTCGTCTGCCGCTTTACAAGCTGTGATGATGTCAAGCCTTGCTGAGTAGAAGTAAAAGTAAATGGATGCCATTGTTTATAGATAAGAATAGACAGTAGTACAAAATTTTCAGCGCTGTTATTTTATAAAATCTTTACAGTGCAAAAATTTTGCTAACTTATGAGTAAGGGTGGGAAAGGAAGAAAACTGAGTAATATTCATCAGAATTGTTTGAATGGAATAAAAACTAGTCTTCTGTTTTTATGCATGAAATGAAGCAGCAGTTAGCAATAATGTATCCAATTTATTTTTGGCATTATTTTCTAAATTGAATCATTCATAAATTTTCGTTTGATGGTAGCTATTCTGTATTAATTTTAATTTGGGACATTTTTTAAAATGCTTGTGAAATCTCTAATCTGAGGCTTGGAAAAATTAATTTCTGCATGTTTCATGTCACATAAAGCGGGAAACCATAATACAGTGAAAAGTCTTTAATCCGGACGTCCATAATCCGGAATGATCTATAATCTGGACCTAATTAAGCTACAAACTTATAATCTGGATCTAATTAAGCTACAAACTTTCGGCGCATGCGTAAATGCAATTGCGTTTGTTTACGCATGCACATAATACCTTTACTCATGCGCATAATGCGTTGAATGTATAACGGACGGTATAAGCTAAGCTAAAATTATCTAATTATCAATTTCAGTTAATGTTGCAGATTGCGTTGTTCCTTAATCTTCTAATTAGATCCGGCTTATTATTTTTTTGCAGACTGTTAGAGCAATTTTATAAAACTAAGCTTGAACTTTCGATTATGTCAAAAAGAATTTCCGATTCTGGAGCTGCCGAAGGATCTACAAAGCGAAAGCATGTTTCGATGTCCATCAAACAAAAAGTGGAATTCCTTTAAAAAAAATGGATAAAGGCACATCCTTTGTTTCTCTAACCATTTGGAAATCTGTTTATCAATTTCATGCTGCTCTGTGGGGGGGGGGGTGGACATCGTGGCGCTCAGTAAACTGGAAGTTGATATGTCAGCACTATCCTTATCTTCAGGACAGATGTTTTTTTATTCGGCTTATAATTCCTTACTAAATGTAGTATTTCATCTGGATGTACTCCATCTTTGATATGATTTAAGTCAAATTCCTAGTCATTATAAATATCATGAATACACATCAAATAGTTTTCTGGTTGTAATTTTCTAATTTCGACTATGCGTAATGTATGCTTTACGCATGCGCTCGTTGAAAGAAATGTTTAATAAAATAAACAAATAAAAATTAAGCTTCTTTTTTTTTTTTTTTTTTTTTTTTTTTTGTAAATTTTGATACCCTTTAGATCATAATTGATCTTTATTTGATAAATTACGGTTTCATATTTTTAATTTTATAATTTCTGCATGCCATCTTACCAGATTTAAACTGATGATCTATAATCTGGAAAACCGATATTCCGGAATCGCTGAAGTCCCGACAAGTCCGGATTAAAGACTTTTGATTGTAATATGAAAAATGACAGTGATTCTAAACTTTGCATTGTATTTGAGAGATGAAATCTATTAAATTTGTAAATGGCTGAGCTGCATGAAACATTAGTAGGGAGAAAATTACGTGAGAACCAAGTAAAAGGACAGCTGGAAAGTTTTTAGCCATTCTGGTTAGCCTATATATTTTCATAACTGTATAAGACAGACAGTTTTTTAAGAAAACTTACTTGTTTTCTGGACAAAGAAAAGTGTTGGAGAGTAGTAATCAACAAGAATTAATGAAATGTTAAGATTTGAGAAGTTATTTGCAGTTTTACTAGAGCATCAGTGGCCATCTGTAATATTTGATATACAGAATGAATCATCATCCAGTGTTTAGGGAATAGATTTTTTGTTTGTTTGTTTGTTTATTTTTATATGAGAGCAGTGTCTAACGTGCTAAATTTCTTGTAGTAGACGTGTAGGTTTTAACCTATTAAATGAAACATAAATGTTGCAATTTAAATTTCTTTATTAAAAGACTCGGCACCTCTTTCATCCACCTTAAATGGACCTCGTAAGGTTGTTGAAGGGGCTTGTGAATGTTAACAAGTATCTGTGTCCTTGTGAATGAAGACTGCGGTGGTTATATGGTGTGATGTGAGAGCACCAGCTACCATTGCTGCTAGTAGAGTTGCTGAAATAGAACTATACTTGTTTACTGTTGAAGGAGACTGTATGAATCTCAGATTACATTTTGGTAAGTGTAGTAATGACATGCATACCAGATTCTCAAGAGAAGTTTTGACATCAAGTTAATCCCAAATAAAATGCTCTTAGGAATAATCTTCATTGTTAACAATAGAGACATGTGGTAATATTTTTTAGATTGACTTGAGTGTTCTCACTGAAGAATTGTGAATAATAATCTATTTGCATTGATCTTGAGGATCAAGAACTTTGGAAGCATTGTTCTTGAATACACAATTTTGATGTGGTAGACAGTTTTAGGAATACCCTAGTAGGATAATCTACATAGCAGAGTGTGAGCAGTCTGTAATTTGTCAGTTAAATAGAAAAAAACTTCAAAATATTAAAATAATTGTAATCTTTGAAATTTTCATAATGTCTAATACTTCAAAATTTAGAGGGGAAAAAAAAAATTCCTCAAAAAAACACATAGCTTTAATCTTTTATAAGCTTTTCATAATTTAATCAATTAATTGAATTATTTGAGAAGTGAAGTTCTTAAAGTATAATATTGCTTTATATATTATATGATGGACTATACCTGTGACAGCTTGTGAACACTTTGGCTTGCATAAAATAACCAGTAATCACTGATATTAAGGAGTAGAAAAGTGTCACACTGTAATTATACCCAGCATATTTAACATATTATAACTTTTAAATATTATGTTGGGATCATCACTTCTGTATGAATTTGTAACATGCTTTATCATAGCTAAATAAGCCAAATCATTTGCATAAATTTGCTTCTTTTTAGTTCTTATTTATTTTATTTATTTATTTATTTTTTTTTTTTTGCAGATTCCAAATACAAAAATAGCTGAGCCTATTGTTAAAGCAAATACAAAAGATATTTTAACAGATTTGACGTCAATTAGAGAAAAGCAGGAAAATATGGACAATATGCTTATCAAAATGAAACAGGAAAATGAACTTTTATGGCGAGAATTAACAAGTATGAGACAAAAGCATAAAGCCCAAGAACATGTTATTCAGAAGGTAATAACCTTTATTCTTGTTTCATTATTTTCATTATTTCTGAGAAATAAATTTAAGGTGTGATGTGTAATTTTTATCTTTTCTCTCTTTGAAGAGAAAATAAAATAATGTAGTTAATTTTTTGAATTTGAAGTAGTTTTTCCATAAAGCTTTTTATTTTCTCGCTAAAACTTAAAAATGGACATATTAATATTACTTACCATGAACTGATGATGGTTTCACATCAGCCGACGATGTTTGACATATTCACTTCCAAGACAGTTATACGAAAATTCGCCAGAAGCCATGACAATTTAAGGTAGAAACTTCATAGATGTTGATTTGTTTTCCCAGATTACATTTCCTAGCATAGCAGGTTCATATTGTTGAAATTTTTGCTTGTTTTCTTCTTGTATACCATCGGATAAATTGTTTTCTTAATATTTTTGCGAAGTCTTTTGTACTCGCACCTTGCTCGTTTAGGACAAGAATGCCCTGATTAATTGCATTTACATCTTTCATGTTAAGGAAGGAATTTAAAAAGCTAAATTTGCTGCCTTTACTGCTTTATAACTACACATATCTAAGACTCGGTGCTGAATAACTTGAAAACAAAGTTTTAATAAATGCCTCACCATGGGCTGTAGAATGATTAGCCGTTAAAAATAATTCACAGTGTATGCTCGAGAATGATTGGCAGTGAATATGTCAAGTTTCTATATTCATTATCACTTATGTAACTGCTGTTTTTGTAGGACTGGGAATGAATAGACCTGCCAAGTTTTACACTCAAATTCCATGTTTTATTCATTCTGTTATTTTCTTGGTGTGTAATTGTAAATGTATGAGCAAGAAACAGACTACACAAAATATTTTTCATTGAAATCAAAAGCATTTCTCTGGAGGTTTGCTTTTGATTTGTGACTGAGTTAAAACAGTCAGCTGCCATAGTGGAAGTAGAATCATCAATCATTGTTTCTGTAGATGTTACCATTTTTGTACATTTTGAATATGTGTTGTTTGCACTAGAATCTTGTCAAAGATTATCATGAATAAAGCTAATACTTATTAAGTAGGCAGCATAAATGATAGTGTTACACAAATATTTGGCACAATTCTACAGTTAGTATTATGCTGTTGAGTGTCTGTTGATTATCATGTTTTTGTGAAAAACTGCTAAAAGCCTGGAAGCAGTATGATTTATTAATTGTGACCACATAATACCAGTTTTTGTTAACGGTGGTGACAATAATATTGAATATATTGTCCGATTTAAAGGTAGCCTCTTTCAGTATAATCATGCAAAATTTGTGCTTTGTGTAGCAGTGCTTTTTTGTACTGAGGAAAATTAATGAATAATAATGGAAAAAAGGTGATTTATAATTTGTTATCAATGATTATAAATTAATTGTAAATCCTAGTAGAATTTATCAGTGATTAATAAATCCTAATGGGACTTTTAGAAATCATTTATAAATCTCTTCACTGTTGTCTGAAAGGTGAACATTGAAAATTAAGTTGATATAATTTGAACTTCTACATTAGTTTGCTTTTTATCAAATTTTTATATATCTTAGCATTTTCTTCCGTATAAGTATTCTGATTTAACAAGTTAAGTGCTTTGTGCATCAAGGCTAATTCAGATTATTAAAGCTTTATAGCATTTTAATTTAAAAAGTTAAACTGAGTGCTTCGTGCTGATTATTAAAGCTTTATAGCATTTTAATTCCTTTGTATTCATACAGTCAGACTTGCTAAATTGTCATTGGAAAGAAATTCCCTTTTAAGCTCTTTCAATTCTAATTATGCCATTAATTTGACAAAGCTTAAAAAGCTAAATTACATATATGTAAATTTTAAATATTAAGGAAAATTAAAATTTAGAGAGAATTAAAGAAAAACTCTTTTTGTAGTTTATATATTTAATAATAAAGGAGAAGATTTGTATAAATAAATATCCTTTTTCCTTAATAGTCATTTAAATTTCTTTCAGCTTTTGTTGTAAAATGTTTTGTAGATTTACATAAGATAATTAATAATATATAAATCTATTTTAACAAAAATACTCCAAACTTTTAAGATTTCATAAAAATAACAAAACAACTCAGCTGTCTGGTAGATATGTTATATTTCTTTTTCATTCTGTTTAGTCCCAAAATATAAGAATTTGTTTTAATAAATGTATTTGTTGCTTGTATATTATTTCAGATAAGCTGAAAAAGTCCATGAAAGGTTTAGGATTGGATTCCATTCGACTGCATTTCTTGAAATTGGAAATGAATTCCAAAATCTGAGTGGTATTAGGGGATAATGCTAGTTTTTTTTTAGTAATTTTTACTGTAAAATATATTTATTCTTTTTTCCAGGGGCTTATTATAAAAGAAAAGATATAAGAAAGTCAGACTTAAAGTTTATAGCTTTGATGTTTTAATAGTAATCAAAATACTTCATTAAATCTTAATTTTATCTTGAAAGCTTGGAGATATTAATCATAGAATTTATTTATTATCTTTGCAAAATAATTAATGTGTTTGGGTAATTACGTGCTATTTTGAAATATTTAAGAAGCTATATATCCTTTAGTTACTTTTTTTCTGTTATATATGTGATCAAATATATTATTTTTTCCTCAAGTTAGATGAATAAGTAAACATATTTATGTGAAAGAAGATAAGTGATGTCAGTTTTTAACAATTGATATTTTCAAGCTTTTAAGTATTTTTTTTAAATTGTGTATAATTGAATGAGAAATATGTTTTGCTAGGTTTAAGTCTATTATATCCTGCAAGTTCCTCAGTCATGTATTAATTTTATATATAAATATAATAATATTTTATGTGTAATGTAATAAGATTAGATACTGTCTGGTTTTCTTAACGATATGTTTTAAATTAACTCCCATTAATTGAAAATGTTCATTAAAAATGCTTTGAATTTTTCTTCCTGTTTTATTTTGGGGGGGAGGGGGGAGATTAAACTTTTTTTTAAAAATTATTTTAGTGTTAAGTATATTTCTAGCTGACCTTAATGATGAGCGTCACTCACTTAACTGCATCTAAAAGTTAGACGTATCATGTTTCAAGCAGTGCTTTGTGTGCTGTTCTTGGGCCATTACCTCCTTTCAAATAAATTACAGCTTTGCATTCGTACATAGTCAGGGTTCGTAGCGGTCCTTACAAGTGCTTATAAGTCATTATATTTGAAAATAAAGTATAAAGGCCCTTATAGGTGCTTACTTTTTTTAAAGCCCTTATTTTTTTGTTTTTAGCTTATTTTTTGCTTTTAGTGCGTATTTTTAATCCTTTTTTTAATGAACGTGCATTCTTTCCCCGTACCAAAGCCAAAACTAAATAAACAACTTTTCTTCCTTATATGCAACGTCGGATGGTGAATCATACTCCCGGAAATTGCTTTTCCCCCCTTTCTCTGCATTAACATAACCTATGGTGCATGCAAGAGTACAGACAGGTGCACGTCATTCTATTGGTCAAAGAATTGCGAAAACGGTAGAAAATTCCGGTACATTCGGTATTCTTTTCCTCCCACCTAAATACTACACACGTTTGAATTTCTATTAAGGTTTTAATAATTTGCATTCTCGTTCCGAGTGGTCAGTTCATATTTGTGTTTATTATGATCGTTATGCTTATATTATGAGCATATGCATGAATATTTATAATAATATAGTTGCAGTAACTGCTGAAGTATAGATAAACTTCCAAAAATGGGCGTGTTTTTACACAGATTAGCTTTCTAAGGAATAATATTCGGAATGGCTTAAATAAAAGGAAGTAATCGAATAGTCAAAATAATTTTTTTTTCCAATACATTATACAGTACAGAGGTTGGGAGGTTCTCCTCTTTCTCTGCAAAATCTCTAATATTGAAGCAGTGGTTTTTTTTTTTTTTTTTTTTTTTTTTTTTTTTTTTTTTTGTCACTGTCCAATCTGGATTGAATAGGACTAAAAGTTTTTGCTGTCTACCCAGCCCAAGCGAAGATTGTTTCTATTCCGGAAATTTAACGCATTCTGTTGAAAATTAGAATTGGAAACACCCCAGATTAGTACGTCTCTTTCTTTACCTTTATTTAGTTCTTTATTCTCCGAATACCGGCAGCTGTTGATTCCGATTGCATAATATCACATGTGGAAGAATTATGCCGCACGTGTTTTGCAATAACGTTTGCGGTATTTTGGAGACAAAATTAATTTTGATGTTCAGACTGAGATTTGTTTATGAACACTTAAAACAGTTTTACTGTGCTTTCTAAGCAGAATATTTCTCAGTTCCATTGGTCTCTTTTTATATGATGCACATATCGAAATGTCAAAATCATTTATTTAGCCAAGAAATCTAAAGAACGATTTTTCCAGTTACTATCCGGAATATTCGGCAATTTCCAAGTATGTGGGTTAGTTAAGCTTTTACTGTTAAAGGATGACTGCATGAAGCAATTTCCCGTCTTCTGATTTCAGAAATGTGCCTCTTTTTTACTTAAATTACTTTGCTTGGAATATATGTTAAGGGAAATCTGTTATGCAATGAAAATTTAGAAAATGTTCAGAATTTTGATTTAAGTTAAATTATTTAAATATAATTATGAGTGGAAAAATAAATTGTATTTATTATTAGATGCGAAATGAATACAATTAATATGGTTTATTATTTATTTTCTATATTTTGAACTGAAATTGCATCATTAAATCTTGTAACATAGTTTAGTACTGCATAGTTTTTCCCCCTCTCATTGTAAACTAATTCTGTAAATTGAACTGTCATTTAAAATTTAAAAAAAAAAGTTAATTGTTTTCCATGTTTGAGGTAATGCTCATTCTCTTAATAAATATTGCATTGCTCATATTTTAAATTACAAGTCTAATTTTTCTTTTATAGTTACGCAGTTGTGTATAATGTAATTCGATAGGTGCTTATTTTTTCCTTAAAATGTGCTTGAAAAGTGCTTATAGGTGCTTATTTTTTTTAACTAAAATGTGGCTACGAATCCTGATAGTACCAGAACTGGATAAGTTGGACTAAAGAACTTCAAAACTGTTTTAAAATAATCATGCAAAATAATTAGTGCTATTTTAAGATTATCAGTATTGAGTCTGAAATTTTAAGTTTTAACAAATTAAGTACATAATAAATTTGTTTTCCTAAAAGCATGTATCCCTACTAAGACCTTTAGCATAATTGTATAAGTTGGTTTGATTTAATCTAGTGATAATGATTTAAATTTTTAGATCATTACCTGAAAATGTAGGGTGCTTTCAAAAAAATGTAAGATTATCGATTTCATCACATTTGTCTTAAATTATTTGCTTGACAAGAGAAAATGAATGTTGTAACCATGATTTTCACATGCAAATAATGATATAAACCTATCATGTCTTTTATACTTTTTTAATGAAAACGAGAACCTTAGGTTTAGATTCTTATCTGAATTTTAAAAAAAAAATTCCTGTTGTATGTTTTAGTAAAAGTAGTTTTAAGAGTATAAAAATTTTAAATAATAAATTTAATTTTAATTTAAGCGCTAAATATTTAAAAATTTTTTGATCTAAGAATTAAGTATCTTTTTAAAAGCATCGTCATTATATTTAGTTGTCGCTGCATGTACTAATAAAACTTCTTGTTTTCAGGTTATACAATTTCTTGTGTCAATAGTACAAAGAAGTAATCAGAATATTGGTGTACAAAGAAAAATACCCCGAATGCTTCATGATAGTCCAGGAAATAATGCAAAACATTCACAAGTTACCCGCAGTATTGATGTTTTGCAGAAACCAGATTGCATTCTTACTGTAAGTTATAATTTGAAAAATTCTGCGACTTGCATTTGTTAATGTGTTTAATTAAGATTTAAAGTTATTAGCTGTGCTAAGTGCATTTAATAAGTAAAGAATGAGATGGGTATGTATAATCAATTTGTCTAATTTAAAAAAAAATAATACTGTTACTCCCCTCTCTCAAGTAATAAAGCTGTTAGATTTGTTGGTTCCACCATGTTTATGAATTTAAGAAGGAAAAAAGTGTATTGATTGACTTTGCATTACTATGCTATAAATTTAATTTTGTAGAATTTTTCTTGCTTCCAAAATATAAAAATTGATCGGAGTCGATGCTGCTTTCATTAACTAATACAATATAAATGCATGCAACAAGATGTGATAAGAATGCATTTTTTTAATATTCCCCTACTCTCTCGTATTTTTCTAGTGTAGTTTGTTGCCAAAAATTTCGTTGGATAAAAATAATGGTTGTTAAAAAATTAATTTTTATTTTCTTCAGTAGAGCTTTGTTATTATCACAAATTGGACCTACCTCTTCTACCCAGGGTAACTGTTGAGCCTTATATGTTCCAATAAATAATCAACGAAATGAAAAGGCCACAACTTGGTGAACACTAAATATATATTAAACGTGACATTAATAACAGGTTTCAAAATTAGTATTTACGTAGATTACATATTTATTATATGCTGCTTCTGATAAGAGCGTCCTTCACCTCCCCTTGTGTTCTGGAAAATGTGGCCAAACTTGAAATTTTTCCCCAGCTGGGTTGAGATAAAGTGTGGTGGTTTTAAAGTTCACGAAACTTACTGAGATTCTTGACACTTCCCATCTTGAGTTTGGGTAGCTACCAGAACTGAATATCATTTTCAGTGTGGATACTGCTAGGTTCACATGTGAATAATCCTCTATGTGAAGTTTTCATACCGTTACACTCTTAGTCTTCTCAACATTCGCTGCATCCAAATGAGAATCTGTTAGTTCAATTGGACAAAGTTTTTTTTTTACAAATTAGATTAAAGCACCAGACTTGGTTTTTATTTTTGTTATTCACGACTCCATCTTTGCCAGGATAAACTTCTAGAACTCTTCCAAGAGTCCAGTTGTTTTGCTTAGTGTTTTTTCTGTCTACACGTGGATAGCATCTACAATTTGCAAATGTTTCTTTTTTTTTTTTTTTTTTTTGTTTTGTGTAAAGTTGATGGTCTCAGTTGACCTAGATATTCTGCATAATCGTGTTCATAGGTCTTGATGAATTTTCTGAATATAGACATGTTGTTTGTTTAGTTTAAAGTGGTCTATACTATCTAAATTGGGTACTCCTATTTCCCTAATTTTCTTCAAAAACATGTCAGGAGTAATAGGATCGAGATCTTAAATATCATCTGTAACGTAAATTGAAGGATGCGAATTTATAATACGCTCACACTCGAAGAATACTATCGACATTTCTCATAATTGAGTAAAGTTCTTCCCAAAACGTTTTTTAGAATTCTTCTCAAGATTCCAATCAATCTTCCTCAAACGTGGCCAAATCATGGCACAGATGGAGGAATAAATTTTCAGTCAATATAAATAACTCTCAGCTCTTAATTTCTCAAAATCAATACTTAATCAATTTTTTGCTCCAACGAAATAAGATCTATGATCTGAGTAAATGATTGATGGGCAACCTCTTCCACATATTAATTGTCTCAGACCAAATAAAAGATTTTTTTTTTTTTTTTTTTTTTTTTTTTGGGGGGGGGTATATAGATGTCAAAAGCTCAAGATGCACTGCTCTAAACACGGTACATGTCAGTATTAATAGCCAAGCTTTGTTTCCATTTTTCAGTATCAGAGGATCAGCAAGATCTAACCCCAACAGTTTCGAAAACAGATGCATTTGTCATTCTGTCTTTAGGTAATATTGCTTCTAGGACTTTTGATTGCTGAAAGATGTGAATTGTTATAAAAGTAGTGCATGACCTGATAGTAGTATTAGTTGCCTTTCTTCAAAATCCAGAAATTCTGGGTTTATTAGAAGATAAAACAGTTTGAAGTCTAAAATTAACGTCATCTCCAGGCATAAAAAATGTGATTACTTTTTTTGGGGGGAGGAAGGGGGGTTGATTTTTTTTTTTTTTTTTTTAAAGTTTGATTTAAAATTCCACTAGAATTTAAGAAAATTTGGAGTGCTTTCAGTCTTTTATCTGATTGATTTGTAAAACCTTTATGCTGAACTTGTTTAAGTATAGCATGTTCTGCTCGGTGTAGTTAACCATAGTTTAATTGACCGAATACAGTCAAAAGTCGTTAATTCGGACACCCATAATCCGGAAAGATCTATAATCCGGACCTCAAAACTAAAAACTTTCTGCGCATGCGCCGCATTGACGCTTGCGCATAGGCGTTTACGCGAGCGCGTAAGACCTTTACGACTGCACATATGGGTGTGCGCAAGCGCAGAATACGTTTTTGCATGCGCATTTAATGTACAACGGACGGTATAAGCTAAAATTATCTAATTATCTATTTCAGTTAATGTTAATGATTGTGTTGTTCTTTAATCTTCGAATTGGATCCGGCTTATTATTTTTTGCAGACTGTAAGAGCAATTTTATAAAAGTAAGCTTGAACTTTCGATTATGTCAAATAGAATTTCCGATGCTGGAGCTCGCAAAGGATCTACAAAACGAAAGTATGTTTCGATGTCGATCAAACAAAAAGTGGAATTGCTGCAAAAAATAGATAATTAGGCATATCCTTTGTTTATCTAACCGTTCCGAAATCTGTTTATCAATTTCACGCTGCTCTGCGCGGGAAGGGGGGAGGGGGAACGTCGCGGCGCGCAATGAACTGGAAGTTGATCTGTCAGCACTATCGTTATCTACAGGGCAGATGTTTTTATTTTATTCGGCTTATAATTCCTTACTAAATGTAGTATTTTATCTCGATGTACTCCGTCTTTGATATGATTTAAATCAAATTCCTCGTCATTATAAATATCACGAATACAAATCAAATAGTTTTCTGGTGGCAATTTTCTAATTTCGGCTATGCGAAATGTATGCTTTACGAATGCGCGCGTTGAAAGAAATGTTTAATAAAGTAAACAAATAAATATTAAGCTTTTTTTTTTTGTAAATTTTGATACCCTTTAGATCATAATTGCTCACTATTTTATAAATTACGATTTCATATTTTTAATTTTATAATTTCTGCATGCCATCTTACCAGATTTAAACTGATGATCTATAATCCGGAAAAATCGATATTCCGGAATCACCGAAGTCCCGACGAGTCCGGATTAAAGACTTTTGACTGTATTCTATTTCCTCTAAACTTTATAGAATTGCTGAAAAATCTGTAAATCCAAACAGTGATATGTAGAAGTTTTCCATGACCTGAATGATGGTGGTAGAAAATTTTTTTCATTATCTTTCGTATTCAAGGCTATTATCTTTTTTCAGACTTCACAATATCCATATTAAGATATTACTTATAGGCCATTTTTCTGGTTTCAATAAGGGGCCCAACCACCACTGCGATTTGAAAAGAGAACTGCAGTTCACACCCTCTCGATGGTAGATCTGCAGGGTTTGGGTCTCCAGGGACATGTTGCATATGACTTCTTTTATGCGTTGAAGAAGACATGCAGAGTTAAATTCAAGTCATTCAGTTCTAATTTTGATAATCTACAAGAAATTTTCACTGCTTTTAATTCATGTAACTTACTTTTCCATTCCTGAAACCTTGTAACTATATCTTCAGGATATGTTTTATTGCTAGTTCAGTTTCTAATTTAGTGCTTTTGTTACTTATGTCTTTGATTTCTAATGTATCTAAATTACATAGATCCAATATTTTTGTAATATTTATGTGCCTCAAATTTACCCATTACTCCCATTGTCTCAAATTTACTATTACTGTCAAACCCAATAGTGTCTAAACAGCAACTAAACCTCCTGCATGGTGTTTTGTATCTTTGTTAATAATTTTACTGCATAATCACGTTCAATGAGCAAATGCATTTCATCTGAATTATTTTCATACAAACAGGATCCGTCGTTTATAGCCGTGTCACTTATTAAAATACTTATTCAAATTGTCTGCAGTTAAACATTATGTGGTTATTTATATATGCTGTCCTCGGCGTTTCTGATTTTAGCTAATACGTAGTGTTCAATATTAAACGAGAGAGATTAAAACCCCACTCGATGTTTGGTATGAGATAAAGTAATGTACAAGAATGTACACTGTGCAAAAAAAAAAAAAAAAAGAAAAAGAAAAAAAAGAAAAAAAAAAAAGAAGGGGAGAGACAGTTCTATATCTCCCGTTATATTGGGCCAATTGACAAAATTCAACTTATGTTTTTCATCTTTCAAAAGCATAACTTGGGTATGTATTAGATTTATATATAGCAGGGTTGGTCAAACTTCATGTCAGTAAGAGCCGCACGTTTGAATTCAGGAATGTTCGAGAGCTGCATCTAGATTTTCTAAAGCCACAAGTTCATATTTACATCATTATAGAAATAATGGAGGAGGTTTTAAATAGAAAGAAATCCCTGATAACTTTGCAATAGGAGTCTAAACTAATTACTTCCTTTTGGACACTGAATAGTTTTAGTTTAGCATATTTTCATACATATATTTTATATGCATGAGCCGCACAAATTGCCTGCGAGACCCGTATCAGGCTCGCGAGCCGCACTTTGGCCACCTCTGATATATAGCATTATTCTAATATAGAAAATTTGACACAAAATCAGACTTCTGAAATAACATGCCAATTTTTTTCCATATTTCAATTCTAGGACTCAAATTGCACTAAATACCAAGTTTTGTAAAAAAACCCACAAGTAGTTTTTAAAAAATTCTCAAATTTTAGCTCTCAAAATGTAGCTCTTCAATATTAATTTAGTATATATTTATTAATCTCTCCTTTTTAAACTTATTTGATTCTTCCTTTCACATTTCAAAATTCAGCTTCATTCTAAATAAAATTCATCCATTTCTTATGATTTATT